GCAGGTGTCATAAGATGCAGTATGTGACATAGAAGATGCATTCATTCCAGGAACAGAAGCAGCAACCAGCCTGGATAAACCTAAGAATTTCAACCTCCATTTCTGAAAATATCTTTTCATCTCTGGAAGGATTTTGGAGGTAGCTTCACAGTATTTTTCTACATATAAATTGCTACTTTATTAATTCTTCCTTATGATTAACATTATGTATTTTTAAATATATTAACACATTTGAGGTCAACAGACTGTATCTAATCATCAGCACATGTGCCTTCATGCATTTAATGATATGTTGGGCACTGACTTAAATAATAAAAATACTCAAACCTTCTTAGTCAATATCCTAAGGCATGAGCAGAGAGACATCTCAGCACAGGCAACACTCTCACTGGCAGGCCTGGGTGCTGGCAATGCTATCCACTAATGGTCCCAAGATAGTCAAGCAGTAAACCAAGTCCCAGATACACCCAGGGAGCCCAGCCTGAGAAGACACAGCCAAAGAAAGGACTACCCCATAGGTCCAAAGTCCATTCAGAAAACAGGGCTGGATGCAACCTGTAACATGTTTCATAAGGGGCCCATCCAGGAGACAAGCTGTTAATAGCTGGAGCTGAACTAGGGCCCCTGGGCAGGTGAGGATGGTAGGACCAGGTGAGGATGATCAGGTGAGAGTGGAAGGCCCAGGTGAAGACAGGTCAGGGTAATCAGTGCCCTCAGAGCACAAACCCCTTCCAGCTTCCATCACACATTCACTCAAGCTTTGTTTGCCTTCATAAATTGTTATGAGGATCATCTGTAGATTATTTTCTCTTCTCCAGTCACTTGCATGGTCTCTTCAGTTGCTGCCCTCACAGGTTCACATCCAGTTCTGGGTTAGGTACTCTACCGGTTACTTACACCAAGAGGTGTTTCCTTTAGGCGGCAGGGAGGTGTAGGAAACAGTTCTCTGCAGTCCTTGTGCCAGTGCAGCCCCTCCTGCTGTGCAGGTGGCTCCTTTCAGCCTGCTCCCCCCTCCTCCCACTTTGCACCAGCTGTGAAACTCCATTCTGTCTACACAAGTGAGGAGACTCCAGCTAGCAGGCTCTGTAACAACATTGTAAGGCATGTAACAAAACCTATTCCTTCCTCAAGTCTTTGAAACATTTTGCGTATCTTTTGCTTTTGCCCATCAATAACAGATGAGTCTCATGGACGTCAACAGGGAATTTCACAGTGCCAGACAAATGCTGCTCAACTGCCAAAACCAACACTGAATCATTGCTTGAGCAGCAATTAAACTAGAACAATGCAGTTACCTGGAGCCTTCTTCTAATCATTCTCCCAATCCTGTGTTAATTACCTATGCTGGAGTAACTACAGCAATGATGAGCCTGTATGAAAATAAAAGGTAAAATGACAGTAAAAATTCCGTAAATGATACAATATTACTTCCCATCAAAATATTCTAAAATATTCATGTTCCTAATGTACATACCCTACAAAGACCCTAAGATTGTTTGTTAGACTTTGTATAGCAGATCACTAACTGCCATTACCAATGAAGTTAAAAGAAAGCATTTAAGAGCTGCTGAGGCCCCACAACTAGGCACTACTGCTGTAGTGGCAAGGTCACCATGGTCTAGGCAGCCAGTGGAGCACAGGCTTTGGGAAGAAGAGCATGTTGGCTTCACTTGCAGTAAACAAACGGCCAGGGGCCTCTTCACACAAAAGCCCTCGCTTCTCTGTTTCTCGCAGCGGCTGTTTGGCATGTGTGCCTCACACAGGCTTGAAAGCGATGTTTTTGTATGAAGAAGGGTAGCACCACTGACATAACCGCCTAGGTGTTAAAAATACTGTAGTTATTTACACCCGGCCAGTGCCACTCCAGGCAACTTTCTCTGTGCAGGGCTGTGGTAGCTCCCCCAGCCTCTCACCGCTGAGGCAGAAGAACGTCGGCCGCGTTCTGCGGTAGCAGCAGCACACCTGTGTGCTTGCTCGCAGCCCCCTTCACCCTCCGTTTCCTCACGCCACACCAACACCGCCCCTCTTCCCCGGGGCTACCGGGACCGCAGCTCTCAGCCGCGCAGCGGCTCCGCGGCACTAAGGGCTGGCTCCGCGGTCCGCCCGCAGAGGGCGCCCGGGCCTTGCTGCTGCTGCGGCGGCTCTTGGTTGCGGCGGGCGCGGCGGAGACCTGCGGGGGAAGGGGAAAGCAAAGCAAAGCAAAGGAAAGGGAAGGGAAGGGAAGGGGCGGGCGGCCCGGCCCTGTCTCCCGCCTCTCCTCCTCGGGCTGGGTAGCCGCCGGGACTGGTGGGGCGCTGCGGGGCAGGCGGCGGCTGCTGGCCGCGGGAGCGTAACCCCGTCCCTGTCCGCGGGGTCTTCAGTGGGCGGAAACCGCCCTCCGGTGGCGGCGGCGCAGGGCAGAGGTGTGTGGCGCCCAGCGCAGCCGGATCCCCGAAGCAGCAGCCCCCGGAGCTCTCGCCAGGTCGGTGCCTGCCCCGCTCGGGTGCGCGTCCTCGTCCCCCCCCCCGCCCCCAGACAGGCTCTGCCCGGTCCGCCGGGGCCGACCCCGGTCCGCTCAAGCTCGCTGTGCCATGTGCGTGGGGCTATAGGACCGCCGCCCTTGTTTAAAGCCGTTCTTCATTATTATACCTTTAACGTTGCCTCCCCCATTCCCGTTTCTCCCCTGAGGACCGATTGCTTGTCAGGGTGCGGGGCCCAGGCCGCGGTCGCACCCGAGGTCTTCAAGGCCACAAACAGCTGCTGCCCATGGACCATCCTTCCCGCGAGGGATGGCGCCCAGGGGCTTCAGGGATGCGATGCCGTCCGGACTCTCCTGAAGAAAGGCGCTTCCTTGTATTTTGTTGTTTTGTGGTTTGTTTGTTTAGTGTTTTTTTTTTTTAATCTAAGCTGAAAATAATCTGCGATAACAGGACTAGGTTTCTGGGTAAAATTTGGTCTTGCTTTCTCATCAGCTCTTTCTCATCATTCACAATCAGGATTTGTGTAAAAATGTGTTTAGAGAATAGCCTGAGATAAAAATGCAATGATTTAGTTAATATTGCTGTTTGAGGAAGCCCTGAATTATTCCTTAGCTTAGCTCCACTTTTTCTTTTCACCAGGAATAATGAAATTTATAAATACTGTACAACTGAACATCCTTTTGGATTTCAAGCTGTTATTAGCTGCTATTTAGAGAACTTGCAGATCTGCCAAACACACGTATCTGACATCTTTACGCATTACTAGCAATGTCTCATACTTGACATGCAGAAGGCAGCAGCCAGGACTCATGGATATGCACGGCAGCTTGGCCACTGGAGAAGCAGGGACTGTGGCAACTCTCCCAAGTTCCAGGGAAAGCTTCCTTTTCCTCACTTGCACTGTGAAGCTATTCTTAATGAAGTGGATTTCATTTTTAAACCATTGACTATTTGGTTTTGCATGTTTTTACTCCAGAATAAGGTATTAAAATAAGAAAAAGGTGTCCAAACAAGGGGTCTCAAGCTCCTAATTCTTTATTACTAAATGTCTTTGAACATAACGATTTATTTCTAGCTAGACAAACACTACATCTTTCCAGAAAGGTATGATGTCAAGTTTCCAAGTTAATTGTTCTGTGAAAATAATATCTTTACTTTAACTTTTCCAAACAATAGTAACTAGTATTTGGGCAATACTCTAAGACAGAATACGAGGTTACAGGCAAGTTATAGGAACATAAATCATTGTTTAGTATTATTTTATTTCCTCGTCATTGGCAACATAAATACTATAGGAAGAAGTGTCATAGCAGTCTCCTTATCCTCTTTTCAGTTGGAAAGCATTTAATGCAAGAAAAGAAAAATGAAAGGCTTTATTTTTAAATGTTGAGGAAAAATTCACGCCTCTGAGCAAGAATGTAGATATTGGAAGAGGGAGCCATCTGTACTGGTCTAGTTCAAACACCTTATACTTTTAAGCTAAAAATGTATTTATGAAATACTTCAAGGTCAGAAGACAGTTTATTTGGTGAAAGGTACATCCTAATATGATACAGCCAGTCCAGGTGTGAGAATAGCTGAGTATCAATCACTGACATCATTGCCTATTGCCTCCCCAGTTCAGGTTTATACATTTACTTGATGGCCTCCAGTTCTGGCCACCGGTGGAATGCTGATATTGGGCCCTTACCGGGACAGAGTATTTTGCTGGGGATTTAAGAAAAGTAGCAATTATTGTAAGATCAAGAATACATTCACAAGGACTGGCAACATGAACGTTATTCTGCTGTGTAAATGTTAAGTAATAACAACCCAAGAATACCCACATGCTTTAAATGTGTTAAGTGCGTTGTGTGGCAGGAGGCCAAAGCTCAAGTCTTCAGTCATCTGGGAAGTGTAAGTGGCCCGTCTAATTCCTACCGCTTTTTAAACTGTTTGGTTTTCCATAATAGCTGCAGGGTTTTGCAGTGGGGAATAGCAGAAGATCAGGTGGTCGAGCCTGAACTGCCGTGGTTGGACTCGCTGCCACATAGTCCTTGACCTTGTAAGAGAACTTTTGCGTGTGTAAGTCCAGCAGCAGTTCTGATATTCAGACATGGTTTTGCATACCAGGTTAAACCTAATTTTTCAGACATTATTTTAAAATACCTATGTTCAGTCTTTTTTTTTTTTTTTTTCATCTGACATGTTTTGCTTACCTTGAAATGTGCATTTTGGGATGAAGCTTAATAAAATGTCTAAGGTTTTTTTTACAATGTTTCTGAATGGTTGAAAATTCATGCCTAAAACCTGCCTGCTAAGTAGTATGTATGCTTTGGTGTTTCTCCCTGTTTAGCAGGTAGTAAACCCCTGCTCAGCTGCAGAGTACCAGAATGGGAAAGTTTAACTGAAACATTGCTTAAAACTTTTTTTTTTTAGCTTTAACAGTTATTTTCCAAGATGGCAACAAAGTCTCATAACTTCACAAGTCTAAGCTGACTATATCTAATAGGCTAAGGTGAATTCTTAGTGTATGAATACATGTTTTTTTTTGTTGTTCAGCTGGTTTATCATCCAATGATGACAGCTCTCCTGAGAGGCGACCAGTTTCTGCAGAAAATTCGCTCCAGTTAACGCTGCAGATACCTGAAGTCTCATGAAAAGAAAAAGCAGGTTTCTCAATGACTAGAAAAGTGAGTCCTAACTTTGCACTGAATGATGTTCTATGAAAATAAACTTTGTGAAACTTTATTGGGATTTAATATAGTGTGATGCATAATGAGGGTGGCTCCAGACTGTTGCATTGTGAAAGGGTACATTGTCAGCCCTTCCAAGACCTGTCCCTGTGTGTGTGAAGAACATCAAAAATCCCAGCCAAAAACATCAGGCCTTTAGGGACTGCTGTCTGTGAGATACTGAGTAACTTTATTCTGGTATAGAGGGTTACTCTTATACCTCAGTATTATCTCTTCCTGGTTTTCAACTTCTCCACATCTGAGGTGTTTCAGGTGGTCTTAGCTATTTTCTTTCTTGTTACTGGTTCTACATCTGCTTTTAAATACTAAACAGATGAACCCACTAGCGTAGTAGTCATTTTGTTGGGTATTGTTAGATTCCTCTATATAAGGAATTATTGACCTTCAGAGGACTTAAATTATCATCAAATGAGTAGGATACCAGCTATTTTTTGTCAGCAGGCAGTTTCAATGAATGGTAGTTGATAATTACACATTTTTGTTAAGATTTTCTTCAATTTTGTAGTGGTTAGCCTTCTAAATAAACATTAACATTTCAAATAGGATGGATATTTCAGCAGAACAAAAAATATCCAGAATTATATAATTGGTTACAAGAAAATATTTTTGAAGGTCAAACTCACCCCTCTGTTGCTTCAAAATTTAAGCCATATTATACTATTATGTTTCATTCTGGGGATTCTGGGGGCAGGTTTCCCCTCCATTTGCCTCCTGCAAGTTTCTCATGCTTTCAGTCTTTCTTCATATTAGTGTTAAGTAAGGCAAACTTCTTGACACTATGTTGAATCAGTTGTTAGTCTGATGGGTCAGTTAGATTCAAGCAGACATTAATGCTAGTCTGGAATCTTGAGTCATAAATTATTTCTTTTTTGTAACATTATCCTGAAATTCATTGCATAGAAAACAACATTTTATTTATGTTTCCTACATATGAGTGGAGTATTCAGAATCTGGGCTAGTACCATTTAAGAAAGTACTGTTAACTTACTGGCATTACATTGGACATGAAAATCAGAGTTTTGGTCATAAGTGCAAATAAATTGCTTGGTTTACTTTACACTTGGGCAAATTGCTGGCATCTCGGTGTAACTGACAGTCTCAGTCTAACACAACCTCAGACTAAAATGCTACAGTGATATAAATCTGGAGTGTTGCAGATTTGTCAAGAGCTAATGAGTGTTATGGGCTATGAAGTATTTTTCTTTCTTGGAAGACTAACTTCTGTAAGCAATAAATGTAAGCAAGCTTTGTACAGTTAATATCTTATTCACACTAGCTGTGTTTATTTCTTCGAATTTGGCAGGTCCGTTTATGAGATTGGAAATAACTGCGATATCAAGCATCCGTCTGGATGCAGAGGTCTGTTCACAGAGGATAATCAGCATTGGTAAACAGATTTGAGGATTTGCATGGGGTAGAAAAGGAGGCAGAAATAAACTTGTGACATCAAATCGTGGTCCAGGAATGGTGGCTTCTCAGCTGAATACCCACGCTTTCAATATCTCCCCAGTAGAGGATAGGAGATTGTGCACAAATGGAACACCATGGATTTGGCATCTCCTGGAAGAATGTGTCGAGAATGCGTGGGAGTATTGGAGCGTTGTCATAGGGCTGATTTCCATTGTCTGTTTTCTGTTTGCTGCACTACCGTAAGTTTAAAGTCTTAAGCAGTCTTCAGATTCAAACATGAGTAATCTTGCCTGCAGCCTTTTTCAAAAGCTGCATTTTTTTCATTTTATCTTGGATATGTTTCTCTATCTGCATAATACAGATATAATATGCCAGAGAAGCATGTTGTTCATGTTTGCAAAAATATTTGGTGGCTGACAAACGAGCTTGATGTGCTGTTCTGGTGTACTGACTTGACACTAATCTCTGCCACTTAGAGCAAATGAGAATAAATCACCTCTCTTATCTTTGCCATCCTGAGATATGTGTGCATGTGCAGGCATACTTGCAGTGGGAGCTGGCTTAGTGTTCATTCAGACCACGTACTATGTCACCAAAACTATTGTGCTGGCTCCTGCCAGTAAATTTGGCCTGGGAAAAGGTGATACAGAAGTGATACATGGGTTAACACTTCGGTAGTGCTAAATCAGCTGCTGTTTGGTTGCTGGCACTGGTTTCAAACATGTAGGGGGGAGATGACAAAGGAAAAGTAGAAATGTTCCCAGCAGGTGAAAATGCCTGAAACAAAATGGGATTGACTCCAAAGTCTGTCCCCATAAGGGGGATATAATTTACTGAACTAGTAAAAAGGCTATGGAAATGAAGCAAAATAAAACCAGTCTTAGTAAGCTGTTCAGCTTCAGAAATACTAGTTGAAATACGAGGTGAAAAGCAACTTTACATTAAAACTGTCATATTAGTCAGCATGAAATTCATCAAAGTATGTCTAATGGACTCATGTTTGGGATTGCTTCATAGTCCCCATTGTGATTCTGAATAACAATTTTCCAATTTAGAGATACAAGCTAAATATAGCTTATTTAGCTGCTCTTTTAGCAGCTTTGTTCATTCTTAGCCCTTCTCTGTTAAATAGCAGTGGATTTTCTTATTTCAGTATCTTAAAGGCTGGTGTCTACAGCAGGCAAATATAAAATGGTTCTGGGGCATTCTGGAGGATGGTTCTGGGGACCAGAAAATGGTATTTTAATACAAGCCACAAAAACTGAGCTCATGCAAGCAGTAATGAGGTTGTGATTTGAGTCTTTTGTTATGTTAGAGATGGCGAACTATAGTGATACTGAGTTCTTCAAAAGGTAAGTGGAGTATTGCCGTGATAGGTCTCTTGTGGCTAGAGTTTTAATTTTTCTTTATTCAGATTTTGAAAAATATACTTCTGAACTTATTAAACATTTTTGGTTATTGCAATTACTTCTGGAATTTGTGCCAGTCAGATTTACATTGCCTATCAGAATGGAAGAGTGGATCAAGCACTGTCTTTGGGCTTTCTGCTGGGTTGGATAGCTGGAGATCTTACGAATTTCATAGGCTGCTACTTAACAAATCAACTGCCAATTCAGGTAATCTGTCAGTATTCGTACTTTTTGACTTATCCTTTTCAAACCGTCTCCTTAAACTCTGAGACAACTTAATCTTGCACAGTGAAGTAGATACTGGGAAAGAAAACAGTTCTGTATTCTGTTCACTGTGATTTGCAAAATAGGTCATAATTTTCTAAATATTTACATTGAAACTGTTATGTTTTATAGGAATCATTTCACATGTAATTAACGTTCAGAGAGACTTCCTGGGAGTTACTCAGTGCTGAATGAAGTGGGGAATTTTTGTTTGAGCCTCAGTGTCAAAATAAGACTGTAAAGTACCTAGGGCTGGAAGGGCCTGGAAGGCTGTTGTGCTGTTCAACTGGTTTGGGGCAGCTACTCTTTACACTTCCTCTTGTATTTTTATTTATTTTAAGAAAGCTGTTTATTAACAGGGAAATACTAGTTCAAAGCTGTTAATATCTGACTATTCTGAAAATACATTTTCTTCACTAAGAGGAGGGTTTCTCCAAAAGAAACAGTCATTTTCAGCAGTACATTGTGCCTGAGACTGTATCTGCAGTTCTTATTTTTGACTGTTAATTAAAAGAGAAAGGGCTTTGTGTCAGCCACCTGCAGAAGTTTTCGCAAGCTGGAAATGGACCCCAAGCATGGATAGAGTTGTTTTCCTTTTTACAAGCTAATGCGTGATAGTAAGCGTTCAATCTCCCCATTATGAAAAGGTGAAGAGAAAGTGTGATTTTGTCTTATTGCAGTAGAGGCATTGAGTAGAATTAGTAGCTTCCGAAGTGCTGGGGAAACTAGGTGGAGCAGACTTAAACTTCTGGAGAGGAAGGATTTATAAGTCTGCCCAGGTAGGAATTTGTGCTGTGCATCCTGGAAAATTACCAACTTTTGCAACTGTGTTGCATAAGGTTTACACTGCATTCATCTGCAGTGCTCCAACTTGTTTTGTACAGGAAACTTACTTTCTTTTTTGGCAGTACTTTGTTATTTGTCACTCACATTATGATTATGAAGCAAAAATTTCCATACATTACATTAATGTGTTTTGAACTACTATTTGTATACTGAACGAGCAAATGGATCTTCTCTTTCAGATTGTCACTGCCGTTTTTTATGTTAACATGGATATAATCATGATCTCACAATTTGTCTACTATAAGCTCAAGAATCAGGAAATGAAAAAATGTAAGTTTTTTTCAACAATTAAAATGTTTTCCATAACGTAGCACACTCTTCCCTTGGATATTTTCTACAGTGTTTTAATATTTTTTTCAGAGGGATCAAAAAATAGAGTGCACAAATTCTGGTTGAAGTTGTTAGGCCCATTGCTTCCAGTTTTCTCAGGTCTTTTTGAAAATCCTGCCCTTTCTGATTTTCTCTTTTCTTACCACTTAGTATCTGTAAATATTTTTAATGTAGTACTTTCAGTTTACATAGACATAAAAAAATACAATAGTTTTGGGGAACCTGGCCCCATGTTTTAACTTACTCCATGGTTACAGCTATTTAAATGTATGTGTAAGTTGAAAGCAAGCGTTATTTTTTTGCATGGTTCAGTTAGTTCCCTCCGTGTTGATTGAAACTGGACTTTATTTGCTTATAGCATAAAATATATTGACATCTTCATGTGTTCTGTTTCCATACATACGGTTAAAAAATATTCAAGGGGAATGAAATTACTTGAGTTGTGCTTCCTAAAATCCTGGTAATAGTTGTAGCATTCAGCCTACCAATAGACTACTGTTTTAACTGAAATGGAAGACAGAAAGCTCTATTCACATTGTATCAAATCAAAAACATTAATTCATCAATCTAAAAAAAGTATCGAAGAAAATCCATGGTGCATCAGAGGTAACAAAAAGCTGAAGTAAAACAGATGCCTGCCTAGCAGACTGAATAGGGATAAAGCAGATTCATTCAATGTGGAACTGATAATAAACCTGGATATAGGTCAGTGTGGAAGATCCTTCCTTCCTGCTGCCTACTGTTGAAAACAAACACAAGGTTTTGTACATTTTAACTGCCAGCGCCTGTTTCAGTTCAATGGTTTGCATAGCTGTAGAGGTTTTGCTTAAAGCTGAAAAATAACTTTTCAGTACCCAGTTCTGGAGTGCCTACCCTAGCAATTTGGTCAGTTTTGCATCTCAAAGTGCATCCTGTGGAACAGCAGGACTAAGTCTGTGTTACTTTACAAAATCCTATTTAGGCTACAGGTCTTTAGGGCAGGCTTACTAATGACATAAGCAGTTTGTTCCACTGGTAACAGTGATTGCAGGAGTTTACTAGCATCTTACAGATATGGAAGGTACTGTAGCTCCAGAGTTCTGTATGGTTGTCTGCCAGTTTCAGGCTATCTTGTCTATGGAGACTTGCTGAATGAAGTCTGTATTTGAATATGTGGGTCTCAGTAAGGCTTGTTATCTAGCAAACTATAGACATTGAGACTGGTCCACCACAGCACTGTATGAAAATTTTCTCTCAGTAGCAATGCACACTGAAGGAGCCCCCCTCCTGTTCCTGCACTTCTACCCTCAGTTGTTGCACAAAGGCACAGCACAACTATGATAGTGAGCAGGAGTGGGCACAGAGCCCAGAAGAGGTGAACTTAGTTGCTGCCAAGAAAAAGATACATGAAACTGTACTGTATGTACTTTACATTTACATATTTATTGCAAACAAAAAGTAACCTCAAATTAACAGCAGATGTTATTTTTCAGCTAATTTGTTTGTATGTCATTCTAGGCAGCAAAAGCCTGAAGAATTTCTGTATAACCTGGATCATGGTGTGCATAGCACTGTGTGTTATTTTACTCTGTCAGCTATTACTAAGAAACCAAGACCAGAGTGGAGTAATCGAAAGAAGTAATGTAAGTTCTTACCTGCTTCCATTCCAAAAAAATTTCCCACCCAAGTGTCTTGAAAAGATTGTGTACTGTAGGCTTTAAAGAAATCTGGATGACATTTTTAACAATGCTTCAGAAATCATAACTGTGGCATTATGTGGATGTTTTAACTATGGACCATGCATCCCAAAATAAAGAAGTTATAAAACTGCTTTTTTCAAACTGTGTTTCAAACTTATGCTGTCCCTTGGGTCATTAGGATGTGCCACTCTGCAAAATAACTTGTATATGTGTTGTGTTTCTGCTTGTGTTAAATACTGTAGACATCCATGCAGAGACTACACAGCCACGAGTGAAATCAATAGAATTGGAAAATTAAAATTGTACCTGCTGCTGCTGTCAGTTCAGTAGGAAAGTTCACAGGCTATTGTAGCAATTTGATGGCCTTTGTACTAATGCCAGTAAAATAATTGTAATCCAGCAACATTGCCCAGCAGGGAAGCAGTTTATTTTCAAAACACAGCTAGACTGAGAAAACTAAGAACTGTTAAACTGTGAAAATGAGTATTCTGCTTTCTCCAGACAGGATGATTCATTTTTTTTAGTGGCCCTAGCTACAGTTCTTAGTTTTGGTTTGAATTATTGTGCCCAAGCTTTTTTAGCAGGATTGATATTAGTGTCGTATCCTAAAGCCTGGCACTAGTTTTGATCTCAGTCATGGCTACAACACAGCAGTTTGCATTGTTGCAAGATAAAGAATAACCCTTTCTAGCCCTCTATGATCATTTGAAGAGCAGCACTGAACTGGTTTGAAAGGAGTTGTATCCAGAAAATCAGCCAGTGGACTCTCAGTTTAATCCTCTGAAATGCCTGAAAACATTCTTGCCAAAATATATGTACCTTTCTTTTTCAGAACTCTCTTGGTATGATTGAAATGTCAGGCTTCATTTGTGGCTATATATCCTGCATGTTTTACTTGGGAAGTAGATTTCCTCAGCTGTATAAAAATGTAAGTAGGTTTTTGGCTAAGTATACTTGTATATTTTATAGGATACTCTCTGTTGCTTTAGGTGTTGGATTCTCTATAACAGTGAGCCCTCTTGAACTCTAAAATGATTAAAAAAAAAAAACAAGGGGGGGGGGTCTCCCATTCAGAGGATAGTGAGAATTTTAGGAAAACACTGGGTTTTGATGGAAGAGGAAATGAAGTATTTATAGCTAAGTTTATCAGATATGAGCATAAACATAGTGTGTGATTGTTGTCCTGAGCAAGTGGTATTTCCCCTTTTCTTTCTTCAAACTAGTCTACCTTAAGTAATGAACTGTGGGATCAAAAGTTAGAATTAGCACAAAATTAGTTTAGAATTTTAGCCCCTTTTCACAAAGATACCATTACTGACTTTTTTTTTTTCACAACCTCTTTATTATCAGTATATTAAAAACCAGAAACAAACACAAAAAAGACCAGAAGGTTTTACACTGTCAGTTCTATGCAGGCATTTTAATTGGTTATGGAAATGATTAGTTCATTTCCTAACCTATTCATCTTCCCCTTCTACCTTTTCCTTCACAGCTGGAATGCCACAATATTTTCAAAATGGTCTATTAAGCTGACTGAATAGACCAACAGAGTTTTTAAGAACTAAATATAATTTGGAATCACATTATCCTTGCTGCTTTACACTTACATTAAAATCACATTAGTCAGAGCTGCTTCTAAGAACTGTAACAACTGCAGTTTTCAGAGATATGTGCTGAAACTACTAAGCTTGGATGATTCAGAGCCCCAGAAGAGATGGACAAGAATGACTGAAAGTCTTTGGATGTGTTAGGGGACAAAATGCCAAATTATCTCTAATTGGCTACTGTGATACAGGTTTTAAATTTTTTTTTGTATTTGTAAAAACTTCCTTGTATTTAGTTCCGAAGAAAATCAACAGAAGGCAGCTCTTACCTGCTGTTTGCGTTAGCCATGATGGGAAACTGTACGTACGGACTGAGCCTTGTTTTAAGGATGCCAGCTACCAAATCCTTCCAGGCCCTCTACTTCTTACACCATCTTCCATGGCTTATTGGGAGCTTTGGAGTTTTGTTTCTAGACATTTTTGTATCCTTTTTGTGTTATACCTAAAGTTTCTCAATATAGGCTTGTTAATAAGTAGATCAGAAATTTAAGTGGGGTTTTGTTTCAAAATCAGTCTTTTTTTTATAATTCTAACCTGATCATAAAATCATCTTTCTAAACAAGAATTTGTATGCTTTTTATAATGATATTTCTCCTTTATGGGTACATTGCACAGGTTAATTTATATATTGTAGCCAATGTGTAGTGTACTAAAAGTTGTGGGGGGAGGTTGCACACTGTGCCACTGTTTTTCTTAGGTTTGCTCTCTGTTAAAAAAATTCCAAACAAACAAAACACAAAACAACAACAACAACAACAAAACAGACAAAAAAGTAAACCAAAAACAAACCTGCTTCTTGTTAAATGCAAATGCAGAATTAGAGCTTTGGGAATTTGCTAAAATTGTGTTATTGCAAGATTGCATTAACATCAGAGATAAAGAATGAGGTTTTGGCAAGCTTAGTTTCAGAAAATAGCACTTAACAGAGAAATGCTGTAACTACCCCTTAACTGCATGATTAGGGGCAAAATCAGATGTGTTGAAACACTGAGTGCCTCTGAAAATCAGCAGCTATGCTCATGGAGTCATGCTGAGGGCTAATCAACTACTTGATTATCTGGACTAGTATGCGAGTTTTTTGAAAGTCCTGAGCAAACTTAAAACACTACAATTTTTTATTCTTCTTTTCAGGAGACATACATGAGATGCCCACAGTATATTAGTTGTTGTTAGTCATGCTTTTTGTAGATTAAGTGTTAACATTTTGTGATCAAGAAATTAAAAGCAAAATGTTTAGAGTAATTAGTGTACTTTTGCTTTAAAAGCCTAGTGAATAGTAATGTAGTGGTACTTGGTCTTACTATTCGCTATAGGTTTAGAGTCACCTGTTTTGTTACTATAGCTTGTATTTATTTTAAAAGGAGATAAAGAGGAGATTTTCTGATTTTTCCTAAAGTAAGAGATTTAGGTTTGTGTCTGAAAACATCTTGGTTTTCTGAAACCATCTAAAAGGATAGGTCCATGAACTCAAACTATAAAACAGGGTAAAATGAAGAGTGGTTTCAGGACCATACTGAAGCATGTTATCTTAATACGTTCCATATTAAAAGGAGTTTCTTTACCAGATTTACCTGGAACAGTTCCAGAAGTTATGATTCCCAGGCATCAGTTTTGTCCTTCTGATTAATTTCATAAGCCACTCCAATTAGACTAGCGATGCAACAGCCGACCCTGGCGTTTGGATAGACTGTTAAATCACACTGTCATTCAGAATAGCCATCTGTGTTTTTTGTATCTCCAGCCATGGCGATTTAAGTGGGCACTTTAGTAAAATGTTCTGCATTGTGGGAACACAATATTACGCTGCGCTGGTAACACTGAACACACTGTGGCCAATGGTCTGTTCTGAAATAAATTGTAGTTTTATCTTTTAGGAACTAGTGCAGATTCTTCTACATGAGCAGACTGTAGAGATTCAGGGTTGCTGGCCTATGTGGCTGGTTTGAGTGTTCAGGCCTTTTGTTCCACGAGCAAAGTAGTAACTCTTTCTTCTTCCCCCAGCTGGAAACATAAACCAGCCAGTATTTATTTACCAAAAAACCACTAGAACTTGATCTTGATGACCCTTACAGAGCATTATGTGCATATTTGCAGATGCCTTTCAATGATGTACTCTGCAAAGGAACTTTTATATTTGCCACAAACCTCCCCCCTGTCTGAGCCCTGCCCTAGGATTGCAGTGGCGGTATGCACATGACATTCATTTCTGGGTTCTGTCTTGATTGGAGTCTGAATCCAATCTTGCTAATAGTCCTCCAGTTTAAGTTATATTGAAAACAGATGCTTTCAAATCAGGTTGAGGAGCTTATAGGAATCTAGTCAAGTATATAGTGTTAGTTGAAAATGTATAAAGTATTTGTAATCAAGAGAAAACAAAAGCAGACCTCCTGCTTTGAGAAGCCCTGAAGGTAAGGAAGTCAATGCTTTTTAAGAGAGAGCTTCATTACTGTCTCTTGCCAAGCAAGAAAATAAAAAAACCTAACAAACTGATACGTCCTGTTAGACCAGAAAACAAAGAACGGCATCACCTGGGTTTTGAAAAATTGAGGAATTAAATCAAAAGTAATGATTTCTAGGATGAAAGTGTTTCATAATTGATGATTTGTGTAACACAGTCTCTGTTTTGAGGGGTACTTGCAGAAATTGACTAATTTTAGTAGACTTTACTCCTGATAGTATCCAGAGTTTCATTACATGGAAAATAAACTCTCATTTCTCAAGGTCCAAGCCAGGATTAAGAGTTCACTTACTCTGTGTCTGCTGCAGTATTCTTTTGCTTCCATCTGACACTGCTGGTGTGGACTATTTTTAGAAACAAATGGACTCCTGATCATAGCTTCAACAGCAGCTCCAGCATTATTTAGTGCAGGATTACACTGGAGTTGTTTCGCCTTGGTTTAACAGGATAACACAGTCATCCTGTTTCTTTGGTGTCTACAGTAAAGTTATTTGGTTGCACAATGTCGTGGTTTAAACCCAGTCAGGTAATTCGTTCGCTCACTTCCCCCCCTTTTCTTGCCCTCCCCCTGCTCTCGGAGGGACGGAGAGGAGAATCGAAAAGAATGCAACTCCCACGGGTTGAGATAAGAACAGTTTAGTAACTAAGGTATAACACAAATCACTACTGCTACCACCAATGATAATAATGATAAAGGAAATAACAAGGGAAGAGAATACATCATCTCACCACCAGCCGACCGATAACTCGCCCCCCCAGCCCGACCAAGCTCTGACCGATACCTCCTCCAACCCTGCAGTCTCCCAGCCCTTCCGGCTAACTCCCAGTTGCATCCTGGGCATGACGTGCTGTGGTATGGAATACTTCTTTGGTCAGTTTGGGTCAGGTGTCCTGTCTCTGCTTCCTCCTGGCCTCCCCTCCTCCCTGGCAGAGCATGAGGCTCACAAAGTCCTTGGCCAAACCTAAACATCACTATCAGCTCTGTTCCCAAGCTGAAAGTCAAAACACTGCACTGCACCAGCTACCAAGAAGGGGAAAAATGAGTGCTACTGCTGAACCCAGGACATTATCCACCCCTTATTCCATACCATTCACGTCATGCTCAGATCCCACATTTTCAATATACCATCACTCTTATCTCGGTGCACTCTTATCTTAGTGCATGGACCAGTCCCTATAAAGCTGCTGAGTCCATCTGGTCCATGATGTCAGGCTCCATCTCTTGTAACAGTCTTCCAGAGCAGGAGAGACTGTGTGCAGTGAATAACCTGGGCAATAGTGTCCATTGCTAAGTCCACCCCTCGATCATGAGTCCATCTCTGTGTTGCATCTCTGCTCTGATGGCCTGAAGTGCCATGGGCCCACCAGGCTTAAAATAATTCAGTGTCCCCTTAAGCAGTTTCTGCAGCTTGTTGCTGGGGACTCCATACAGCTGCCTTCCATCTCCGACGCTTCCAAAGCACTGGAGGGGCCCAGTGGACTAGATACTTGCCCACACTGTCCCACACCCCCTGCCACTCATGACTGTCCAGCCTTGGGGAAAATCTCTTGGTCCCCCCATATCGTCGTCTAACCCCAGACAAGACCCAAACCTGACTCCGCTCAACTCCCGAGACCAGACAAAATGGTCGTGGGTAGAACACAGTCTGTGTGCGTGCCAACACGCCGATCCCCATCACAATCAGCAGGCAGGTCCCAAGGATACCCAAAGGCCATTCAAAACCTTCAGAACTCTCAGTTGATGCTGCTGTACTTGTCACTGGGGCTGGTGTAGCTGCTGTGCTTGCCGGCTCTCCCACCGCCAGCTTCTCTTTTCCTGAGTCCAGATCTTCCTCCTCTGCCTTGCTGGGAAATGCTGCGTGGTCTCCTGCATGCTCCTGGGGCTCGGCGGGCGGCTTCCGGGAAATGCCATCGGCCGTCGCGGGGCTGGGCTCTTCCGCGGGGCTCGGCTCCGCCGCGGGGCTCGGCTCCGCCGCGGGGCTCGGCTCTTCCGCGGGGCTCGGCTCCTCCGCCGCCTTTTCCCGCTGCTCGGCAGCCGCCTCCTTCCTCTCCTCGACCGCCCCGACCTCCTCCACCGGCAGCCGTCCCCTCGCGGCCTCCGGCCCCGCTCCCGCCGCCGCTTGGTCCCCGGGGCCGCTCTCCTGAGCCGCTTCGGCTGCCGCCGGCTCCCGGGGCCGCTCCCCCTCAGCTCCCCGCAGCCTCACGAAGATGGAGAGTAGGGTGAGGGCCAGGACGGTGAAGAGCAGCCGGACGGCCAGGTACAAGTCCACGGCCACGTCCGTCCCGCCCTGCTGCTGGAGCCCGCCCGTATTACAAGCCATTGCCATAAAGCACAGTGAGACAAGAACCTTAGCCCAAGCCCCACACTTGATAAACACTAATACAGCGAATACCGGCTCTAAGTAAGTTACAACATTCTGAAGCTGTGAGATCAACAAGAACAACTCTGAGAGCCAATAAATCAGCATTGTGACGAGTGACTATTAATCTGGTCAGATCTGTCGTTATCTCAACCCTTCGTGCCCCACGTTGGGCGCCAAAAAGAACTGTCGTGGTTTAAACCCAGTCAGGTAATTCGTTCGCTCACTTCCCCCCCTTTTCTTGCCCTCCCCCTGCTCTCGGAGGGACGGAGAGGAGAATCGAAAAGAATGCAACTCCCACGGGTTGAGATAAGAACAGTTTAGTAACTAAGGTATAACACAAATCACTACTGCTACCACCAATGATAATAATGATAAAGGAAATAACAAGGGAAGAGAATACATCATCTCACCACCAGCCGACCGATAACTCGCCCCCCCAGCCCGACCAAGCTCTGACCGATACCTCCTCCAACCCTGCAGTCTCCCAGCCCTTCCGGCTAACTCCCAGTTGCATCCTGGGCATGACGTGCTGTGGTATGGAATACTTCTTTGGTCAGTTTGGGTCAGGTGTCCTGTCTCTGCTTCCTCCTGGCCTCCCCTCCTCCCTGGCAGAGCATGAGGCTCACAAAGTCCTTGGCCAAACCTAAACATCACTATCAGCTCTGTTCCCAAGCTGAAAGTCAAAACACTGCACTGCACCAGCTACCAAGAAGGGGAAAAATGAGTGCTACTGCTGAACCCAGGACAAGTTATTTTTGATAAATAATGGAAGTATCCAGTTGTTTGTAAAGTATGAATTGTCGTCGCTTTTATTTTAAGAGGCATTTTGTAGCATCCCACATTTGAATTATAGCTGGGACACGTTCTTCTTTTCCACTAAATGTGTCCTTCCAACTGCCGCTTTGCAGCTGAAGGTGTTTGGAGCCTCTCAAGAAACCACAATGCTCGGGGTTTAAATGAACCTAAGAGACAATTGGTCCAGGATTGCCGACTGTGGGCTTTATTAGAGCTTTCTTTTGTGATTAATATTTCACTTGTACACAAGGATGCAATACTACGTATTTTGAAATACTAAATCAGTTGATGAGCAGTTCTGCCCTTAGACCTGTAGCAGTAGTCATCACTAAGCTTTTAAGAGACTGAATCTAGTGCAGGTTTTTTTAGCAAACTTAATCCTTTTCTGTAGGTCTGTTACCCTCTTTCACCCTGCTTACTTCCTCCCCTGCTCTTACCAAAACCAAACAGCTCTGCTTTGTGCTTAGTTCAGACAAAGCCCTTTACCAAGATTTTTGCTTGCTTTTTTTTTTTTTTTCCCTTTACATTTATTTATTTATTTTTAATTGACATCACCCTATTGTCACAGAACTGTGTTCAAATCCTCCACATGTGCTTCTTTTCATTCAGTGTGGCCAGGTTGTTACTAGATAGCCAAAGTATACTCAGCAAGAGCCAAGCTGTTGTACACAGACTCTTCTCTTGCACCTTTCGTGATTTGCAGAGCAACCACTTGGAATCTGTTATATACTTCTACAAAACATCATGCTTTGTAATTTAATTACACTGTGCAAAGAACATAAGTCTGACCTGACAATGCAGCCAGGAGTTTCCCAGCCAAACAAACAACTTCATTCTTATAAATGCCTGCTTTTGTCTCAAAACTGTTCCGGATTTTTAATTGTCATTAAATTGTTTAAAAATCTGATGTACTAGCTTAGTGGCTGTCATAAACTTTACTCTGAGAAGTCAGTTTGGTTGTCTCCTCTGCTTTGGGCTGTTTGCATGCTTAGGTCTTAACGTTTCCCCTAAAAAGGCAGACTTGAGCAGCAAGTTAGTTTCTGTATTTAGTGGTCTTGGCAGTTTAGCGTTTGTTTAAAAAAATATGAGCAGCTGAGTACATCTGCTACAAAAACATATTCTAGAAATACAATTTGATAAGCTCCACATAACTTGTGTTTATAATTTATTCTACCTTAAATGTTCTGTTGCTGTTGCCAACTTGGTGGCGAAGAGTGATAATGCAGTGCTTAAGAGCAGGCTTGCACCTGAGCCCCCCCCCCCCCCGTTTTCAGCAAGTTTGATTCACCGTTCACAGGTTGTTTTTCCACCGGTGCAACTGTTAAGGCTTGAGGAGGTGCTCAGCTGCAAGTACAGTAAGGCCTAGGAGAAAATAAGAAAAAAGCAGGAAATTTGAGTGGTAGCTATATATACTATAAAAGTAATTTGCGAAGCTGTAAGGAGAAAGCGTTCCCCACATATTACTATAGAAGTACTAAAAAAGGCATGCAGAGCTGCTGTCTCTCTGTCTCTGAAGGAAATCCTGTCTAGTCTTTAGCTGGGGAGCCTCAGAGGTGGGTCACTGGAAAGCTTTGAAAAGGTGGGATAATTCCTGGGGCTCTGCCTAGGATGTAGAGAGTTTCCTCTCCACTCACCCAGGCCTCCCAGAAAGCTTTTTTTTTTTTCCTCCCCCCCTCTCCTTATTTTTATAGATAATTACATACATTAGCCTCAGACTTCTCACAACTATTGTCTACCAGCCAAGTTATTTTAGCTGATCTAAAATGTTTCTGGCAGAATTCTATATGTCAGATTCCTCCCAGAGAAACTAATTCATTTTTAAAATGGGATTTTAAAATCACAGCAGTAGTGGTGATCCAGGCTCTGTGAAACCTGAACTTATACATTGGACTTGGTGCAAGGTGCCTGGGCATACAGATGGCCGCTTTTGTCTCCGCTCCATACCTTTAAACCTGCTTTCATGCAGATCCTGATGTTGGAGGCTCCGTACTTGACCTCATCTACTATACCTGCTTCTACTCAGCTAATATCTTTTTTAAAACTTTAATGAAGAAAATTGGATAGCGAATAATGCTAGGATTAGAATACTGCTGAAATCACTCTGTCTTTTAGAAAAAATTACCCATAATGAGTAAAAAAGGTAGGAGCCATAAACCTTCCCTGCAGAGAGTGGCTGCTTTGCTGGCTAGCATTGGTTTGCCCTTGTGACTGCTTGCTGCTTTGCATTTCATGTCACTTCCATATCAATTTATTCCTTTATTCTGTAAAATACTATGCGTATTTCATACAATAAAATAGAAACAGAATACTTAAGGGCATAGCTGGATAGAATTGTACCATATCCTTGTATCTCAAAATGGTATCTCTATCTGAAAACAAAGTGGTTCAGTGCCTCAAGTATAACAATCCTCAACTATCTAACAAAAATTCTGCAGAGTAAGAAATCTCTCCTGTCCATTGCTCAAAGTCAATAATTTCATTTGAGAGCTGGAGCCATCAAGAAAACAGGACAAGTACATACTTGTTAATGCATTTTAGATTAGCAGTGTTTCCAATGGTCTGTGTTACAGTAGAAATAAATAATTATGTCTAATTGCAAACAAATCTGTATTGCAAACAGCATTAAATACTGACTGGTGGTGTATGCATGTCAGTGCCTGTAAATATCAAACTGCCTAGAATTTTTCAGGAAGTGAAAGTTTTGTTTTCTGAATAGGCACTGCTCATCTGTTGCTAAGAAAATTTTCTTAATAACTTCTCCCTTTACCAGTGCCCACGCTTAGCCCAGACCACTGAGGCTAGAGTAGTACGGAGCAATATGTTTGATTCCACATTATTCCGAGGCAAGCCTTGCTTCTATTCTGCTAATGAATTTCACTCTCAGGATCCTTGCATCATGAGGATGAGGTAGTGAAGAATGTTACCATGTGTATTCAAGCCATATAACCAGGAGCAGCTGAAGTTTTGAGTTAGAATTTTTCTGTTCCCTCTTCTAGTGTTGGAGTAAAATTTGATTAAACCTTTCGCCCTAAAGAAGTAGGAAAATGGGCATTAAGTAGGGTTTGGAAAAGGTTATATGTGAATGTCAAACATTCTACAGTTGGGATTAAATAAACAGTAATACTGACACTAAAGTATATGAATTAGATGCAGCTTTCCTCTGTGGACTGTGGTATTTGGAGTATGTGCCAGAACTAAATGGATGGCTGCTTTTATTCTGTACGGCTTATTTTGGTTTTAATTGAAAGCAAGTACTGCAAATGCTACCTCTGTATCCTAGTTAATTACTTCCTTACCCCCAAATAACAGGTGACTCTGCAATTCATCCTGTATCGTCAGCAGAAGGAAAGGCAATCTGGTTTAGTAACACTGGAAGTGGAACCATTGCTGGTGAATGAGGAGACGGCCTAGTGTTGGGCTGTGTTCTGCTCCTGGGTTTTTCATTGGATTTTGCTCTTGGATTATTTTGGCAAACAGTTAAGAGTGCAGTTGCTAAGGGACCCAATTTATTCCTAATTATTATTTATTTTGTCATTAATTTCTCATTACTTATTTGCAAATTATATGCCAATAATAAAATATTTAATATTTACTGTCTTGTTTTAGGCTAGATGCTTTTTTTTTTCCTGAATTATTTTTTTTTTCCCTGAGTTTAGCTGTTTCTCCCTAATTGCTACAGAGTTTGAGACAGCAGTAATGCTGTAGAAATATTTATTTGACATCATGATACGGTGTGTATTGTGGGATGACTTCGTTCTTAGATGAAGGTGTACGCCAAGGTTAGCAGTCATGTGGCTGGTTTAAAGCCAATGAATGAGATTATCCCATGCCTTGAACCCAGCCTGGAGTTATAGGCTGCTCAGTCCAGTTGTGTGATATGATAAGATTTGGCCTTTTTTTAATTCATACTCAATTTTGTATGCATCCGAATAAAAAAAACATTAAGTGACTTTAGTGCAGAGGATCTGCTAATGATGCAAAAACGGAATCCTGGTGTACGTTGCTGGGAGTCTCAGGTACAGCTCATTGCAGAGCATCATTGTGCGTTTTATTTTAAAGAGTTAAAGCATTTTACCTGTCAAGGATTATAATTACTGTATGTCATCATATACCCCATATAATGGTTTTGAACACCATGAATTTTCTTCTGGCTTAGGTAAGTACCATGGAGGGAAAAAAACAAACAAAAAAAAACACCTAGAAGCTAAGGAGACTGTAGCTTGCAATCACTTTTTTTTTTTTTTTTGCAATACTGTGTTGTGTTTGAAGAAAGCTTTAATAAAATAATCTCAAAGAATAAACTTGTTAATTTTTTATTGAATATATGTATAATGATTCACTCTTCAATAGATATGTTTGTGAACAAAAGGGGTCTTTCTTTAAAAAGGCCAGTATGAACATTTTATACATTTGTGGGTTTATTGTGAAGCTCCTTCCTTTTGATTTCATGTGACTGGTAAAGGGCCACGATTTAAATTTTGTTTTTAAGTAATAAAACCTAATGAATAATAAATTAATTTTTAAATAATGAAAGAAAATAAGTGCAATCGATTGTGCTTAAGTTGCTGCCAAAAGCATGCACTCTATGACCTTTTATGGGACTTCATGCACACTCATATAACCCTATTGAACAGGACTGGGATGTTTGGGAGTGGGGGGGGTCAGCCTCATCCCTGTTGACATAGATGGAAATTTAATTTCAGCTTCTGCTGCAGCAGTAAGTTACACGAGGAGCTGAATTCTGTGTTCTTGCTAGAAATTAATTGGGTCCTGTCAGGTGATGGCAGACACTGAGATGGTGGATTAGGTGTTAGTGGCACAACATGCCATGGAAGGATAAACCCATTCCAGTGGCTTCCAGTCCTGCCACCTGCCAAAAATACTGCTCAGTAATCCCTGTGCTGGTGGTGTGGGTATAGGCAGTGCCACAACAGCTGAGTAAAAGGGAATTGCAAAATTGTGTTGTGAAAACGCAAGTGCTTCTGAAATGTTTTACAGTTCTGCAAGACATGGAGGGTTTACACAAGTTCTACCCCAGTGAAGTTAGTTACTTTATTAGTCTCAGCTTGTATTTAGGAAGAACACGTTTTCCATGATTTCTGAAGGGAGTAGAGGGTATTAGAAATTAACCTTTTCAATACATAAATTAAATGCAGTTTGTCTAACCAGTAGATTTATATGCTATGCACATGAGATTATCGATCTCTTGCCTGACTGGTGATTGAAACCATGACTTCTCACTTCTTAATGCAGTTAGAAATTGTTCTTATATTATTTCTTCAAAGATCATTTCCTCTTTTATTGCTATGTGTAATCCTGGTTTAGGATGTTTTTTTATCCGTGTTTCACACTGCTGTTTGTTAAAACAGCCAAATATGGGGTATCTAAAGTTACTGTGATTTGAGACTTTTAATGGAAAATAATTTAACTTTTTAAATGTGAAGCAATGATACCTATTTCTTGATAGTTCATATATATATAATATTTAGTATATGAGTTCAGTGAACACTTATACTTGAGAAACTATTATTTCCAGTTAGCTATTTGACTTCAAGAGCTCATCAGATGCATACAGTAGTCCTTGCTGTTTCCTGTTGCCTAGTAGGATGATACTGTCTTTGTCACCCCATTCTCAGCCCATAATTATTTTCTCAAAACCAGATCTTGCCATGTTAGAATAAGAAGATAGAGCAATGCCCAAATATACCAGATTAGAGACTAAAGGGCAGATCCTCATCACCTCTTTGTTAATCCCAGGCAGGAAAACACAGCACGTAGCGTTTATCCTTCTATCACAGCTACTTGGTTATAAAGCAGTGTCTTAATCTTCTTGCTTTATGCTACTAATTCTTTCGTGCTGCATGTAATCCAAGATTAATGGCATTGTTTTCTAATTTTGGTTTTTTTTTACTATCATGGAAATCTCATTAACTAAAGGAAACCTCTAAAATGTCTTCAGGGCCTTATTTTTAAGCAAATTCATCAAATAATTTAGCTAACATAGTTCTCCATTGTCCACAGAAGATTTTCCAGGAATGCAGTTACTCCTGGCTGTTACAAATCAGTTGTGATCACCTGTTTCAATAAGAAAAATATGTACCTAATTTGCCCCTTCTGACTGTCTCTTGGAATTTATGTTTTTTCTATATTCTACATTGTATTCTCACTGGAAAAAAAATAAGAAACCCACCAAAAAAAAACGTGTTATTAGTCAGTAGGAAAGCAAATTGGTTCATCTAGTAAAAAGAGGAGAAAAAGCTGCCATTGTTGGCTGCTCCAGGATCTCATTCCCTCTGTTCCTTATGAACTGGCTTTTAAGGTCTGCAGCATCTTGTGGAAGTAACAAAAGATGCTCCCACAAGGTTTTTAGTACAATACCATTGAGAGGGGGGTTGTTTACAGCTGTGCCAAAAGTACAAGAAAAACAAGCTGATTTTCAGGTTCAAAGACCAGAAGCCAACAATGTGTCCCTATTTGCCATCAGTGCTTAGACTAAACCTGTGCAAGGTCACAGCTTTATCTGTAGGTATAAAAAAACTTAGAAAAGAATATCCAAGAATGGGCAACAGCCAGCTTGTTCTAATTATTCCATCACAATTTGTTTAGTTATTGCTCTGTAACCTCAGAGAGGCAAGAGAAAACCGCTTTTTGTTACAGCAGCAGTTATTATGGATATGAAATATCATTTTCCTAATAGAGTAAAGGTTGTGCAGGAGAAGAATGTCAGCTGTACCTTGTGCCACTCACTTTATAGCCACCTCTTTGTGTGACTTAACACTTCCATGATATTTTAAGTTTATGGATGTTTAAGTTAAGAGTTAAACGTCTGTGTGGCACCATGTGTAAGAAGCCGCATGTTAAGTTAAGCAAAGCTTTCTCTGAGGGAACCCTAATAAATTGCTGCCAACATCTAGGGCTTGGGTTGCTTCAAACATAGTTCTCAACTAACAGACAACGAAGACTTCATGAATAATAAGGAAGAGATGGATGAGCAGCTGCTGCTAGGCAGTGTTACCGTGGGTGCCACGGCTTCAACAAGGATGCACCCAGAACTGCCTTTGCCTTTGCAGCATAGCACTTCCTTTGACAGGTCTGGATCCATCCCCTGAAAGCTCCTCAGTACTGCAAGAATGGCTGCCCCAGGATCTCTTCCAAATCCCCATTCTGAGTTTTTCCCAGCCGTTGTTCCGACAGGTGTTAATGGCCCCCATCAACTCCACCATAGGTAAATCCAGCCGCTGCTGTGGTGTGCTTTGAGGAAATTTTAACGGTGGTAGGGATGATTCATGAATATTAATTGCTTTCAGTACTTTGGTGTCCATCCACGATACTGTTGAAAATATATGGTTTGGAGACAGGGCATTGATTTGTACCATGATGAGGGGAGTTACTGTAATATGCTCCAAACAGCTTTTAAATCATGACTATAGAGGAATTAAGACTAGTTTAATACAACTAAATAATACTCCTAAGGATAAGCCATTAAAATCAAGTTGACTCCTAGATTCTAGCAATTGCATCAGACAAGGTGATTACACTCAGCATCAGTATTGATAATCATTAAAATAGATTAAAATATCAACTGAGAGATAAGAAACACTGGTTGACTCTGGCAGAAGTGGAGGTTTGATGTTACTGCTGTGTCCCTTCTGCTCTCTGAAACTTCTTGCTGCTACATGGAGGTTCAGTAGGTACCAGTTCTTCATAAGCATCATGTGCCTCAAAATTACCACCGTTCTAACAGCACATTTTCTCTTTGAATGTCTTTGAAGGACATGTTGCAGACTTCAGGAAGAATAAAGCATTGCATCATTTTGACTGACTTGCTAGTGGTGGCAGACTTGTACCCACTCCTGTTTGGACCCCAGTTGTTCAAATAAAGGACATCTTCAGGGTCTTAACACACCCAGAGGAAATGACCCTCACTGGGAAATGTGCCTTTACTTCTCAGCACAACTAAATTTCTTAGTTGTTTAGGATCCTTAAGCGTTCAAGCCTCGGAGAGGAAGGCCAGACTCTACATTTTCTTCAGGGGCAGCCTGACCTTTCTCCTCTTAAAGGAAGTTGTTATAGACATAGGCCTGAAGAGACTTGTACATGAAATGACTCAGTTCTTCTGAAGAAGCTGGACAGAAAGAGTTACTTAATGGGAACACAGCACAAGCAAAGTCTAAGTATCTCAGGTGGAGCGCAGATGGACCCAAGGTAGCCCATAGGCCAAACATCTCTCAAGGACTAATGGTGTCTCCTTAAGGAAAATTGGCTCAGCAGAAGGTAGAACACTGAGCTAAAACCGGTGCAGGTTCAGAAAAGGCTGAGGGCTCCCCCAGGCATCACAGCCCACAGGGCAAAGTGCCTGGTGTGGATGAAGAGGGAGAGGGAGGGAGGAATGCCAGAGCAGAGCAGAGCAGTGGGACAGGGTGACATAGTCACCCACAGCCTCTCTCCTCCAGGACTGCCCCCTAGCACTGAGGTTATGGCATCCATAGCAAAACCAAACACCTTTGCAGGTCCAGTAGTAAGTAAAGATAATGGGAAGGACCAGAAGAAGCTAAGGAAGAGGGATGTAATGCTGGGAGAGAGAAGAGGAAG